AGTCTCAGCCACCTTGGCACTGAGACTTGATTCAGTTGGTTGAGGTTCTTTCTGAAGCTTATCCATTGATCTTCATACTCCTTTGGAAGTGGTGTGTCCCAAGTGAGCTTGAGTTTCCATAGATCTTGGATGATTATCTTGCCTCGGGTGATTACTGGAGCGATGAATCCCAATGGATCAAACAGTTGAGCGATTTCTGATGCTACTACTCTCTTGGTGATTGTTGCTGACTCGAACTGCTTTGATTTAAATTGAAATGTATCGGACGATTGATGCCAATACAATCCGAGCACTTTGGTGATAGGCTCCTCGAACTGGATGATTGCCTTGCTCGTCGAGATTCCCAATTCCTCTAAAACGTGTGGGCAATTACTGCTCCACTTTTGTAGAGCGAAACCGCCTNCGCTCCACTTTTGTAGAGCGAAACCGCTTGCTTGACAGAGCCCTTGTAACTGCCATGCGATTTCTTTCAGGGGATCTTCTGTATCAGCTCCGCCGCAGATATCGTCGACGTAGCGACCTTTGGTGAGTGCCTCGACGGCTGCTGGATAGTGATGTCCTTCATCCTCTGCTAATTGTTGGAGAACTCGTAGAGATAGCCATGGAGAACAATTGAGACCGTAGGTGACTGTGGTCAGTTGGTAGGTGATCTGCTGCTGATTTTCGTTGATCCACAGAATTCTCTGGAGATCCCAATCGTCTTGATGCACTCGAATCTGTCTGAACATCTTGACAATGTCTGTCCCGAAAACAATTTTGTGTTTTCTGAGCCATGTTAATACGTTCATGGTATTAACTTGTAGCTTCTCACCCGGATAGAGGATATCATTGAGAGATAATCCTGATGAGCTAGGACTTGAGCCGTTGAAGACAACTCTCAACTGCGTGGTGAGTGCGTCCTCTCTCAGAACTCCGTGATGCGGTAGATAGTATGCTGTGACGGGTTCTGCTCCTTCTGGTGCTTTGCGCATGTGTCCCAGTGCCTCATACTCGTTGATAAATTCTCTGTAGAGCTGGGAATATGATTCGTCTGTCTGAAGACGACGTGCAACTGACTGGAGTTGACGTGAGGCCTTGAATTTAGACTCTCCGAGCGCTGTTGGTGAGGTCCGTAGAGGAAGTCTTACGATGTAGCGCCCAGTTTCGTCTCTGGTGTGTGTGGACTTGAAGAATTTCTCACACTCGAGTTCATCTGGTGATAGCTCTGCTGATGAGTTGGGAATTTTTGGTAATTCCTCCTGGTGCCAAAATCTTTGAAGAAGCTCTTGTAGTTGCTCGTTTGAAGATTCCTTTACGGCCGATAGAGAAACCCTCGGTAAACAACCACTGCATTCGATTGGACCTGATAGTATCCAACCAAATATTGTTTGTTGGCCAACTAATTGAGTGTTTCTGGACCTGACGACTCTGCTCTTGATGATCCGCCCATAGCTGTCAGCCCCTATGATGATGTCTATTGGACCAGGTTTTAGATAATCTGGATCGGCTAGTTGAAGACCTTGTGGAGGGTCGATCCATGTTGGTGAGCACGAGAATGATGGTAGCTTGACGGTGAGTTTCTTGAGTATGTGAGCATTGATTTGCACTTGCTGTGATCCATCAACTGCTTGAAGCAGTACTGATACTGCTCCCCTCGTGTGACCTGAGTTTGTCTCTCCTATTCCGATTAACTCTATTTTTGATGACCTTCGTAAGAGTTGTAGTTGATGTACTAGTTCCTCAGAGATAAATGATAACTCTGAGCCTTGATCGATGAGCGCTCTTGCTTTGAGAAGGAAGCCCTTTGGAGATTGTGCTCGTACTTGGGCTGTTGCTAGAAGTGTATATTGCTGATCAGCTGCTAAATGATGACTGCTCTGCTCGATGATTGGCTGCTTGGTGATTTGCTCTTTGATGACAGGTGATGTTGAGGTACTGATCGCCTGATTGGTGATGATTCGTGTTGGTGATGCTCTGGATGCTGGTAGGTATAATTGAGAGCGATCAATGAGTGTTTTTAAATTAGAGGGAAACTAGGTTTTTACGTACACTCAGCCCAGCTCGTTCCTGGTTGGACCGTCTGTGGATTTTCTTCTCTTGTTGGGTTCACTGGAGCTGCCTGCTCAGCATCTCTGCCGTTGGTGTACGTGCTTCCACCATGGATGAGTGTGTGATGCCTGCGCTTGCAGCTGAAGCACGTCTTGGTGGACCTGCACTTTGAGAATAGATGTGGGCCCAAGCAGTTGAAACAGAGCCTTGTGCTGACCACGAACTCATTCCTCTTGATGGGGGACAGGTCGACGAACCTCTGACAGTTCGCGATGAAATGTGGTCCCTTGCAGTAGGCACAGTGCTCCTTGGGGAGCAGTCTGGTGAGCTCTCCTGGCTCCCTCTGTTGAGTTACTGCTAGGTGAGCATTTCTCTGACGTTGAGTTGCTCCATGCTTCTTGACTGGTGGTGCTAGAGGCTCGGTGGTCAGCTTGGCTCCAGCATTGATTCCTCTTGCGCAGGATTCAACGAAGCTGGTGAACTCCTCCAGCGTTGGGAAGTCCTTGGAATCTCCTAGCTTCAATTCCCATGCTCTGAGAGTCTCAGCATCCAGGGACTTCCTCAATAGATGAACGATCATCTGCTCACTGACGCTCTCCTTGGACAAGCCTGTCATAGTGATCAGCTGATCTCTCGTCTCAAGGGCTGTCGCTGCATTGGCGTTGAGGTTCTCCGCAGTTGCCTTGGTGATCTTCGGGAGGTGGAGGATCCTGTTGAACAGTGCTTGAGCGATGAGTCTGGGATCCTCATATTTCCTCACTAGCTTCTGCCAGGCCTTCTCATAATTCTCATCGGTCACCGTGAAGGTGTCGATGAGATTTGCTGCCTGTCCCTTGAGAGCCTCCTTGAGGCGTACTAGCTTTTGCACTGGCGGAATTGAATCGTCTTTTCCCACCAGTGACTGGAACAGGTCGCTGAACTGCTTCCACTCTGAGTATTTTCCTTCGAATGGTTTCAGTCCGATTCTCTTGAGTTGATTGGCTTGGCCTGATGTTGTTGATGTACTCGCTGATTCCCTCTTCTTGATGATTCCTTTGAGCTGATAGATGAGTTTGAGGCAGGGTTTCTTCAGCGTTGAAGCCCTCTGATAGGTGGTCTCAATAATATGTTGATGAGTTGACAGGAGGGTCTCGCTGAGTTTGTCTTGGATGATGAGCAATTCATTCCATTCTCCTTCGATGATTTTCTCCTGGCCGTCCAACTCCTCAACTGTGAGACCGCTAATGTTCTCGGCTGACTGCAACAATTCTTGATAAATATCATTAAATGACTTTACCTTGAAGTCCAGTTTATTTATTTGGAACTTCTGAGTCTCTGTGAGTTCGCCTATTGCAGGTCCCCTCTCGGCTACAGTGTGTTTAATTTCTTGTTGGTGAATGGAAGTCGCATTAGGGAACTGCGGTGTATTTTCTCCACTGAAGTGCGCTTGGGACGGATTCTCAGTAATTTGGATAATTGGCTCAATTACGCTTGGCGTCTCCTCAGTGCTTTCATCCATACGTTGATTATCTCCTAACTCTGCGTCTGACATGGTGGTCGTCTCTGCTCTGGGTGAGGTAACTTATCGATAATAGGTAGATACCGACTGATGTTGACTTGATGCCCACTGTCGATAAGGTAGGGCACGTTATTAGGTGAGGGCGCTCTTCCAACTGCCTGTTGGATTTCGCGTAGCGCGCGCGGCTTGGGCCTCGGCTAGTCCCGACGGAGACCGAGGTTTTCCGAAGTTGCACAGCACTAGAGGTCGAAATGTCACTACCGGTGTTTACAATACCGAACTTCAACTGTAAACACTGGGCACAACACTCTGCACTGTTGATTGTCTTGACTTGTCCGTAGATTTGCTCGTGTGGAACCCGAAAGTCCGTTACACACGAGGCGTCCCTTTTATTCTAGAATTTTCCACTCACTCTCACGCACTTTTTCCCTATCCGGCTCGAAGGACCATTTGTTTGAGATTGAAGCTAAATTGAGATGCCGGTTGGGAAAAAAGTGGAATTGTGGAAGGAGGTGGAAAATTAAAACACGCGGAATTATAAAACCACACTGTTGATGTACTTTATTGTGGAATAACCCACGCGTCTTGATAAATTAATATTATTACACTGTTGAGTTGCTCGACAAGTCAATAAAAATGATTGTTTGAAAAATGCACTGCACTTGAGATTCTCTCGATATTGAACTTGATAATTGACTCAAATAATTGATAATTAACTCGGAATTAATTGATAATTGAATTGAATTAAATAGAGGCGCTATACAAAGCGCTAGACTTAAATATATCGCGTCGATGTACTCCGGTGATGTACTCGATCGAGCGGTTATGGCAATACAATTTGCGATTAGAGTGACTCTCTCGGTGGCTAGAACGATACTACTTCTTTTTCGGCGATTTTCTTCGTAGCTGACCGTGATCCCGACGGGTCCCGAAGTTTCTCGAGAATTTCGTTGAACCCGGTGACCGTTTGACTAGTTTGAATAGCTGAATTTCAAACAATGTCTTTTGACATTTTTCTTTAAACCTATGGGTTGTCGAGATATTTTTCCCCCTTAGGGGGAATGTGTAGAGGGGATACACGAGTTCTCTTTGTGTCTTTTCCCCATCCCATTTTTGCATTTTTCTGATTTCGTTTCTTTTTTTTCAACTTACTAATGGTAAAGGTATATAAATTCCGCATAGAATATTTTTTATTTTAATCAAAAAACCACTCAAATTCATGCCGTTTCTAGATCCTCCAATTCCTTCCACTGACCTCTAACTCATATTTGCCCGTTTATTTGATATTCCAGGTGAACCAACCGGATTTGCTGCAAATTATGCCAACTGCATTTATGATGACGATGAAGACATCGATGAACTGCTGAAGCAGATTGAAGACAGTGATTATGAAGACGAGGACAGCGATTATGAAGTTGCATCGCCACCGACCAATCCTAAAAAACTCAAGATCGTGACCCCAAATCTCACTGCGATTTTAGACAGAGCCAAAGTGAGCAATCGTATGGCTGCACGTGTGATAGCAGCAATCCTCATAATACTTGGTATATCTTTAGATGATATCCATCTGAGCCCGGAAACTCTTCGTCGCAATCGGAAAAAACAACGCGAGTCGATGGCTGCTCAGATAAAAGATAATTTTAAACATAGATCGTCTTCGGCCAAGGCAGTTCACCGGGATGGCAAACGAATGTCAGCGCCGGAAGATAAATTCAAGAAAATAGATCGGCTCCCAGTTCTTGCGTCAGATGATGACTGGAATCAATTGCTTGGTGTTTCGAGACTTGAAAAGGGAACTGGAGAATTGCAGGCAAAAGCGATCTATGATTGCTTGAAGGAATGGGACATTATTGATGACATATGCTCCATGGTATTCGATACCACGGCGAGCAATACAGGCAGCATAAGTGGTGCCTGTATTCTGCTTGAAAAATTACTCGAGAGAGAACTGTTATACCTAGCATGCCGTCATCATATTTTTGAACTTCTTCTGAAAATTGCATTGGAAACATCAATGGGGAGTACGTCTGGGCCTGAAGTTTCGATATTCAAACGCTTTCAAGGGGACTGGAAAAACATTGAGAAGGCAAAATTTTCACCGGGAGTGCACGATGCCAAAGTCAAAGAGGTACTGCATTGTCATACGCTGGATGCCCTTGCATTTGCTGAAGAACACTTAAAGGTCAGTGGCAACACATTACCCACACGGGAATAATTCACACTCACTTTTTCTCCTTCTATCACACTAACATTCAGTAACATCAAGTTTAATTATATCTATTTTTCCAATTCACAGAATAAAAATATCCGTAACGACTACAGGGAGTTGTTGGAATTGATCGTTATGTTTCTCGAAGGGAATCTGATGAAAGGGAACCGTTTTCGAGCTCTTGGGCCCATGCATCATGCTAGATGGATGTCCAAAGCGATTTATTCGTTCAAGATCTTCTTCTTCCGGGATTAATTTCATCTGACAGCCCAAGAAACATCTGGTCTACGAGATGTTTGTATTTTCATAGTTTTGTTATATCAGAGAGCGTGGTTCACGTGTTCAAATCCAGTCACAGCCCCAAACAATGATTGGATTCTGCTGAAGGATTTATCAACAAATGCTGGGATTGGTGGCTGCATTTCCCCAAAAATTCAGAAAGCAGTATTCGAGAAATTTAGTAACCACCTTTGGTACTTGTCGGAGGAATTGATTGCTTTGGCTTTTTTCGACGATCATGTGAGTAACGACGTTAAGAGAAAAATGTGTCAGGCCATCAAATCTCGTTCTCCTCTCAATGATGGTAGGGAGCCTAGGAAAATAGGAATCAAGGATCAGAAAAAGATTCACGAGTTGAGTTTAGATTCATTTGTAACTCAAAATAC